GTACTGATACAACAATTTTTCAATCACAAGCAAGTGATTACCGACTCATTCAAACACTGCGAATTGACCATCGAAACGAGATTTGCCTTGTGCAGCAGGCTTAAACCGGCTAAACTGGTTATATTACGTACTTCTTCAAGAGAGACAGGATCCTCCTGAGACTTTTGAGGGACTGGCACATACTTATGTTACAAAAAAAACCCATCATATCTGATCACGATTTGGAAAAAAAAAAAAATTAAACAAGCGCCGACACCCTCCCCCCGGGCGCTAATTCGGGAATTTACGGTATTTGAAATAAATAAAATCCCCGGCCTAACCAATCACATTACTGATGAGAACTATTTGTCATCAACCTCCCCTTGACGACCCATTAATGAGACAGCAAGTCTGTTCCCCACTCGTGGCCAGGCCCCAAGGCCTATAGGATCGATTTCCGCCGCTCTCTTGAGTCGCGGGCTCCTTTCCCGAACAACGCGCGGCTAGTAATTGAGTCTACAAGGCCTATGGCGGCTTTAAAGTCAACCAAACATTTATGAGAAAGTAGAAGACAGCATTAGCGTTTCTCATCCTTATGCTTCACTCACAGGAGCAGAAAGGATGAATGAGTGAGCAGTTAGTGTTATACAATACCGTTGATAACTTCCTTTCGATTCACGATCGTCTAAAACTTTGCATTTCTTTCATTCTTCCACTATTATTTTTGTCTGCTTCGGTTGTAGAATCACTCTCAGTGTCTCTCTTCCCGAGAGAGACACTGGGAAGTGTGGGACGAGGTTGTGCTCAGTAGAAGCTTACTACAAAGTTTCTTATCAAACATTACCTTGTGCATATTGCTAATAATCCGCTGATACGTACAGGCCCTCGAGCTCTTAAGAAAAACAAAAAGGATTTTATTTTTAGGATGACGTTTGACCTTCATTTATCATCGTGAACGCTTAAAACATCCGCTGTTACTGTGACCTGGTTTGGATGATCGTCAATACAAGACTCACATTTCATACACGTCTCGGCGAGTACCTTTACACAGCACCACAAGGGGCGCTGCGTTATCGTGTGACGCCAGTGTTTTGTCATGGCCGAAAAACAAGAACACACATCTGCTCGTAATTTCCACAGCTGCTCATCTACGCTTGTTTGTCCAGTGTCGTTAGTATCTTTATTGATCTGTACCGCTGCCGTAGTACGTGTTGAGATTATAAACCAACGAGTTCACGATGTTGAAGATCTTGTGGCGGACGCGCGGCAGAATCAGAACCTGATCGAGGCTTCTAGCGATGCAACAAGCTTCAAACGTTCTGAAAGAGTCCAGTCTGTTGCACAATTTGATCACAAGATTACTAAAGAGAGGAAAGATGCGACAGAAGGTAATGTGATTTGACTAGACAGCTAATTCCGTAACGTTTATTCAGAATTATAAATCGTCGTTTCCTTCCCGTGCCCTCTGTATGCACAAGATTATTGACATTTATGAAATACGTCTTAAATTAATATTGAAAAAAGAACTGGTTCTGAAAATTTGCTGTTACAAACTTATGATTCAAATGTTTGAAAATGTATTGATATCGTAAGGAAAAGCTATCTTTTTATCACCATTGAAATCAAAATGATTAAAGTAATGAACCTGAAAATCAAAAAAAGAAAAAAATTACGTTTAATCCTTATTTCTCTCGACTATGATTTCTCACTCGTTATTTCATTACGTGGCTTGAGTATTCAGCTCTCCCGGAAAACATATGGTGAAAAGAATACAAAGACACCAAAACGTGATTACATCCAAGTTTGTTTCTGAAGATCAAAGGCCACTTAATTGATTAAAAGGAATTAATTTAAAGATTAAAGATCAAAGAATACGTTGCTGGGAAACTCCGAAGCAGTAATCATGAAGTTTATGCTCTATAAAGTGTCATTGTCTTGCAAAATTGACAACGACGCCCCACTGTCATCAACTAATAATGACAAGTACAAATTCCGACTCGTCTAAGTATCAACAAATAGTTTGATATAAAGACAAACTGACTAACAGCATCAGTCTGCAAAGGTCAGGAAACAAAATCCCGTGTCAGATCAGTTGTCAATACTTGACGGGAAAGCCAAGATGTTAAATCTTTTCATTCTATTTCATTGACAGTTCATATTGGAAGAACCCGCCGGTCTTCATCTGAAGCTAGCACAAAACCAGACGAGCTTACTATGGAGTCAGTCACAAGTGAGATAAACAAAACATTAAACTCTCTAACGTTACGATCATTCTGTTCATCCAAAGAACAAATCTGCGTGCAAGGACCGCCGGGAATGCAGGGTCCAAAGGGATCACGTGGAAGAAGAGGACCGCGTGGAGTCACGGGAAGGAAAGGGTCTAGTGGCAGCAAAGGAAATCAAGGCCCACATGGAAAGCAGGGAATTGTGGGGCCACCGGGTGAAAGGGGGAAACAGGGAATTATGGGGCAGACGGGTCAAAAGGGGGAACAGGGAATTATGGGGCCGCCGGGTCGAACAGGGGAACAGGGTAATAGTGGGCCAACGGGTCCAAAGGGAAATCAGGGAATTACAGGGCAACCGGGTTTAAAGGGAAAACAGGGAATTATTGGGGCGCCAGGCCCGAAGGGAAATCAGGGAATTATGGGGCCGCCGGGTCTGAAGGGAAATCAGGGATTTATGGGGCCACGCGGTCCAAAGGGAAAACAGGGAACTATGGGGCCACCAGGTCGAACGGGGGAACAGGGTATTACGGGGTCACCGGGTCCAAAGGGAAAACAGGGAAGTATGGGTAGAAAGGGGGAACAGTACGTAATAGGAGTCCCGGGTTCCAGAGGGTTTCCTGGTGCAAAAGGAGAACCCGGAGATTCGTTTTCACCTCCCACGATAGTGGTCTCCCCGATGAAGCAATCAGTCGCGAACACGCATAATGCAGTGTTTCAGTGTTCCGTCGGCGGAAATCCCAAGCCGACTGTCACGTGGTTAGGAAAGAGAAGCACTCTCTTGACAAGCCGAGATGGTAGATTAGAAGTGCGCCGGGTAACTTTTGATGACGCAGGAGAATACACTTGTATTGGAAGAAACTTGCTGGGCATTACAAGCCAGACTGCTGTTTTAAACGTAGAACGTAAGTTTCAATTTTTGTTGAACTCATGGATGTAAGGCACAGTGACCTAATGCTTAGAAAGTTGGAATTAATATTCTTTGAGTTGAGTTTCGATGCAGGTTTGAGGCCTTTGTTTTTGTTTTGTAGTGAATTGTTTTGTTTTTCCGTAAGTTACTTTTGTTTTGCCGTGAACCGATTTCGTTTCGCCGTGAACTGAACCCCAGCCGTAAATGTTCTTTTGCCAACTGCCCATGCATGAGAGTCAGTACACTTCTCAAATTCAATCGCTCAGCTGACGTCCGAACTCGTTCCAGGCTTTCCTGTGAATTTCGCTTGTCCAAAGCTCACGCACATGATTGGAAAACCACCATATATTTTATTTTAGCTATGAAGGCGCAACGTTGAAGACAAACTATCAACACTATTAGAAAGAGCGTACATCGAAACCTCTCGTCAACTTCCCGTATTGTTTTCATTGAAACAGGACGGAATCAAACTTTTCAATCGTAGTTTTCACCAGCATAATCATGTGACAAAAAGTAATAATGAGCCTTTTAAGTAAGCGAAATTAATTACATAATCTACAAAATCTCCCTTGTTGATGAAGATAAACGCTATTAAAACTCGACCCTGCCTCATTTTCTCTTGGTGTCACCAGTGACCCATATGAGATCAACATCGGAAAAAAAATGCTTCACTTTCGTTTTTTCCCTTATTTGGAGTACAGGAAGTTGACCAATGTTTTTGTTTTCTGGAAAGTACTTTCTTGTGCCCTTTCAAATGAGATATAGAGTGTATACTTGGCAAAATGTTAAATAAAGAATAAGATGTGTTCAATTTGACGTTTTTTTGGCACAGTACAGAGTTGAGTTTTAAAGCCCTTTGGAAAATTTCGCATGCTCTGGTTACATAGGGTATATCGTCATAAGAATTTCTAACAATACACAACCACGTTTGAAGAAAGATTGGATAGGGCCCATCAACTCGCGATCGTCTGGTCTTTCACTTTTTTCGCTAATGCTAATAACCGTCTTAATTTTGAGACAGCAGAATTTAACCTTGCAATCTCTAAATACTCCATAGCATTCAGAAGAATTCACTCTACAGCAGTGAGATAAAACCCATTTTTAGGCATAGTAACGTTATTTACAATGACGCCTTCAGTGGAAGTTTGTGAAAAAAAAATATATTTCATGTTAAATTTTATTTCTTGATAATGTAGCACTCTTCCAGATTTCAAATTGAGAAACTTGGTTCACGTTTAACATATTTTTTCCAGATGTAGAGAATGCTTGAAAGGTTCTTATTATAACTATAATATTATTCTTAATCATTATTAGTGAAATGCTGTTGAACTGTCATGTGACATCTTGTTAACAGCTTTTTTTTCTCCTCTAAAAAGTGCTTCTTATTAAACTCAACAAATTACTCATTTGACTGTGTGTTATGTACAGAGAACAAATAATTTTATCAGTGTGTTACTTTTGATTTATCAATATTTTCTTATTGCCTCTTTTGAAGGGAAAAAAAACTTTCATGGGTCATGTTGGCCGATTGATCGTTTTAAACACAAAGTAATTCTAATGCACGGAGATCTGGAAAAGGAACCATTTTGGTGGGGAAACACCGCATTACATCAACAGAGAGAAGCGTATTGCTTCCAAAATATGTATCGATCATCATGTAAAACAAATAGCAGATGATGTAAATGTCAATCTTATTTATAGTGATCATGCACTTAGCTATACAAGCATTAAGCTTAACTAGTTTATAGGCATGCCACTAAAACGAAGGAAACAAATATTTCGAATAAGCGCACAAATCCCAACTGGTAGGAGGCAGACCAGTTGGCTACCTAAAAAGCGTGACCGAGGATTAAGTTTTTTAAGAATTATTGTATCTGTTATTTCCATTGCGTCTTAGACAGCTTAAGTTCCGTTTGGGCTCGATATTTTCGGAGGTTAGTTAGTTACTTTCGGAATATGCTACGGCCATTGCCGCTATTTTCGAGGGATTGTTATTTTACGGTGTTTCCTTTCTGTTTGACATTTCGTTCATTAACGCTCACTAAATTTGATAAGAATTACTATGCAACATCCGCACTTAACCTTTGAGCTGCACGTACCGGTATAATGGGATGATATTCTGGCTCTAAGCTATCCTGCACTGATGGTACCTCAGTACTACTGCATGTCTAGAACTGACAATTTGTTAACCTCATCACACACTAAGTCGCCATATTATTTAAAAAATAACCTAACAGTATAAACCGTTGAATTGATGCTTTAATCTAGACTGTAAATGATATCATTAATACGATTATTGCACATCAGCGGAAAATTGCGCTCGGTCTTACAATGTAGTCTTGGAAATCCTCAATTTAAGCTAAATATGCACGGCTACACCTTGATAACACAGCCCTCCTTGACTCCACGAGAAAGAAAAAACACTGATTTCTTCATGGAGGGGAGGGACTAATAGGCTCTTTACGCACGCCTGGTGGCCCAGCTTCTGAGTTATACCAGAAAGAGCTACTACTTTTTTTATAGCGGAGCTCCGGCAGGCCACCAAGCGGACCCCCATATTCATATAGGAAAGAAAAGGAAACCCATTAATTGATTTTCTCATTGTTACTATGGCTAGCGGTATTGCTCGTGGGCGCGTACGCACGACGGCGACGGTGACGGCAACGGGGACGGAGTCGCGTAAGATGGCGGGCATACTCTGGCTAAAAGGTTTGCAGAGACATGAAACCTTGATTTATAGCCTCCTTCTTTGATATTGGACATCCATGTTCTGGTCAATTGACACCTGTCAAAAGCAGGTAGCGCTGACCAGTATCACGTGACCATATCACGGACTCAAGTTTTGAGCTCATCGAGTAGCGAGATTAGCACAATCGAGCGCGACGCTTTCTTTCGTTTTATTTCCAAATAAATATTTCTTAGCCTTGCATTTGCTAACTTTATTATTGCCTTTTCTGCCCGACTAGTTGAGTGATACTAAAACAATTAGACCCTTCGCCCTCAAGGGCTACGGGTCAATAGCCCATTCGGCTTCGCCTCATGCGCTATTGACCCGTAGCCCTTGCGGGCTATGGGTCTAATTGTTAACTATCCACTGGATTTATTTCAAAACAAAAACGTGGGCTGATCCTGTGGATAGCGTTATCCACCCCTTGAATTAAACACAGCCTCTTTAGGAAAACCTTTTTATATTACCAACGACACAGCTTTTTATTCTGTGTGTTTTTTGATGTCCACAGACATCAATGGGTGCATATTGATATATTGCTGGTTTGCACTCTAAGCCATCTCTACATTAGACAAAGTGACAACCTGAGTGACGTATTGCTTTCAAAATATCGGTCATCATGTAAAATAAATATATTAGATAAATTTGTTAAGAATTCTTGTAACTGTTCTTTCCATAGCGTCTTCCAACTTAAGTTCCGTTTGGGCTTGCTACTTTCGCAGGTTAATTAGTTACTTTCGGAATATGCTAACAGCCATTGTCGGTATTTTCGAGGGATTGTTATTTTACGGTGTTTCCTTTCTGTTTGATATTTCGTTTAGTGACGCTCACTACATTTAATAAGAATGTACTAAGTAAAATCAGCACTTTGAGCTGCATGTACCTGTATAAGTTATCCGCCTCCTAAAGGTACCTCAGTACTACCGCATGTTTAAAAAAAAAAGGTAAAGTTTGCGTGTGAGCCAAGTGGCCCATCAGGCCGGAGCTTATCCCGTTTTCTGTAGCATGAAGCGACTAGGAGTATTTCTACTCCCCCCTGGATGGGATGCTAGTCCATCGCAGGGTTACCCCCAGCATTAAGTTCGCCGGTAAGAGTAAGGTGTCTTGCCCAAGAACACAACACAATGTCCCCGGCCTGGGCTCGAACACGGACCGCTCGATCTGGAGACGAGCGCACTAACCATGGGGCCACCGCACCTCCCATGTCTAGAGCCGATAATTTGTTAACCTCATCACATACTAGTCGCCACATTATTTGAGCAATGACCTTCTATAGTCTAACCGTCTAAATCGTTGAATTGATGCTTCACCTCAGAGTGTAAATGATATCATGAATACGATTGTTACACATCAACGGAAAATTACTTTCGGTCCTACAGTATAGTCAAGGTTAGCAAAATTCAGCTGAACTAGCTCTGGTATAGGCTAAGGGTTCCAGGGTCCCAGCGGCACATCCCCACCCAGAAATTCGCAAAGTAAACCCTCCCCCCCCCGGGCGTAGTCTATGTGACTTTGACCATTTTCTATAGCTTTTTTGTACCCTGCGTGAAATAATGAACCAGTGTTGTAATAATGACATGGATCAACTCTCTTTTTGTATATTTCCCACAAAGCATGGCCCACAGATGGAACAAAAACAGACTATAGTGCTCAACAATAGAGTTCTTTGAACATACTACATTATGCAAATTTGAGAAGAGACCGTCGCGAACTTTTGCATTTTACCTGTGTGAACCTCGATTGCCCAGAAATTTTTTCCATGTTATTATAGTAGAAACGACACTCTTTTGCACAGTACTTGTTTTAGCTCCATATCGGACATACCAAGATGCATTTTAAGCCCGTAAAACTACGCAATTTTTGTCGTTTTCATAGGGGCTTTAGAAGGCAATTCTTCAACGGTCGACGGAATCCTTCAAAATGCTTGAAAAATTTAAAACTTCCTATTGTTAGATAGAAGAAAAGTAAAGCTCTTATGCTAAGTTTACCCCGAGTTCTAGTTTTGTACATTGTTTCAATGCGAATACCGAGAACTTTGTCAATTTTCCAGATATTTTTTGCATATTGAATGAGCCAAAAAGCTATATTTTCGTTGTTTGCGAATTTCTCGAAAACTTTAAATTCTAAGAAAATCGGAATAATATTTTCGAAAGTGGCTCCCTAAAAGCGTTCTTTAGGAAAAGTTTCATTATTTTCGATTTTTCTAACCTGGCCAGCCATTCTCGATATTTCCAGTCAGTGACTCTTAATTACCTAACTAAGTGTGGGTAATCAACTGGTGACAAGTAAAATTACCAGATAATTTCACAATCTTTGCAAAATTCTAATAATTTTGCGAGCCTTTAGGCGAGGGAGATTACTAGAATTTTGACAAAATTCAAGTAATATTATTCTCTTTAATTTCACAAGTATACCATTTGATTACCTATTAATATCCTGGGTGACAAATTACGCTCACAATACTGGGTTTTTGACTTGGTTATTGTATCGAGAAATTTTGTGCCAAACGTTACCATGACAATATTGTAATATCACATGTGAATTACAAATTAACGATGAAGTTTCGCGCCAAAATTGTTAGTAATTTTTTACCCACGATATGCGGGGTTATCGTAATTAATACGATATCATGAACGCAAACCCGAATAGATTTCTTAACATTTCTTATATTAGATATAAGCGAGTGCTCTTCCAACTCTCATAGCTGTGATGCAAATGCTGTCTGTAGTAACACTCATGGATCTGACACTTGCACATGTAAAGCTGGATTTTCCGGAAATGGCAAAAGTTGTACTTCTGCGGATGCGTGGATAAAAAAAAATGGAAAATTTAACGTTTTTGGGTTGAAAACAATCAAAACCTAACATCTACTCAGCCTATTCGCGTCGCAAAATTTCAGTTAGGTACGTATACTCTAATGCTGGTAGTTTTACTCTAAAATTCAACATCGTCTTTTTGAGTCCATTACGGGCAAGCGACAATTTCAGAAGCTATTAGACTGCTTCGGTTGCAGAGTGTCATAGGTGAGGTACGTTAAGTCTGCATACGAACCAAGTGGCCCTTCAGGCCGACGCTTACCTCCTTTTTTTCAGTTGCATGAAGTGTTCAAGTCATTTTCTTGATTTTCTTATGCAAAAATTCATACAGGGCCCAGAGGATTTGGATAACGCTGTCTAGGGGCAAATTGCTATCCAGAGGGAAAAAAATCTGAGTTATCCAATAGATTTCAGTTTAAAAACAAGAACATAAATTTATCCCGTGGATAGCGTTTTCCACTCCTTGAGCTAATAGGGCCTGTTTAGGAAAACCTTTTTGTATTACCAACAACACAACTTTGTTTTTCTGACTGTTTCTTGACGCTCACAGATATTAATGGAGCATGTTAAGATATCGCTGGTTTAAAATCTGAAACATCTCTACAATAGTCAAAGTGAGAGCACAGAGTAACATGTTACTTTCAAAATATCGGTCATCATGTAAAAAAAATATCAGATAAGCTTGTTAAGAATTCTTGCATCTCTTATTTTTATTGTTTCTTATAACAACTTTAACTCAGAAGTTGGGTTTGGGCTCGCTATTTTCGGAGATTACTTAATTACTTTCGGAATATGCTTACAGCCGCCGTGGTTATTTTCGAATGATTATTTTTTTACAGTGTTTACTTTGTCTTTGATATTTCGTTGAGTGACACTCACTGCATTAATTAAAAATAAAAATCCCAGGTGACATCCGCACTTTGAGGTGCATGTTCCTGTCTAACAGGATGATTTTCTGACTCTAATCCATCCTGCCCCTAAAGGTACATCAGTACTACCGCATGTCTAGAACTGATAATTTGTTAACCTCATCACACACTAGTCGCCACATTATTCGAACAATGACCTTCCATAGTCTAACCGTCTTAATCGTTGAATTGATGCTTCACCCCAGATTGTAAATGAT